AGGCAAGTGCTCTACCACTGAGCCACCTTCCCAGCCCTCTAGGAGACTCTTATCTGTAGTTAATCACCAAAAAGCCAGAAGTGGAAAAGTAACTCAAGTGGTAGAGTGCTAGCCTTGAGCAAAAAAGCTAAGGCCCTGAAATCCAGCCCCAGTACAAGCATGCATGTGTGTGCACACACACACATAAGGTTCTTGCAAAGGAGAGTTATTCTGACCTGCAGCAACTCAGTTGGTCAAGTGGACCCCCATGGCTTCACTGACAAGGTCAGGGTCATCCTCTAGTTAGCTGATGACCTTGAACTAAGCCATCTGTCAGATGAGAAAACCTATTGCTTTCCCAAGATCCCATAGAGGTTGAGAAAGGTAGAGCTCACAGAGAGAAGGCAAGTGCTCAGATTCCAGAGAATGTAAAATCTGTCTTTGTTCTGGAGATGGAAGCTGTAACTATACTATTCCTCCTTTTCATTTCACTTCTGTGCACCATTCCTAAGGGTCCACTAAAGGAAAGGCAAGGAGGGGGAAGGGGACCCAGGCCTTGCTCTAAGAAACTGCTGTGGTTTGAATGTACATGTCACTCCCAAAATCATTTGTTGATATCTTCCTAATAAGATATTTGAAGGTCAGGCTTTTGGGAGAAAGGATTAGGTCCTGAGGGCTTTGATCTCACTAATTGGATTAATAATCTTATGAAAGATGCTGGCTCAGCAGTAGAGTGCAGTGCTAGTAGGAATAGCTCATTGGTAGTGAAGGCATAGCTTAGTGGTATAGCTTGGGTTGAGTGAGATTGGGAGGACCGAGGTTCAAGGCCAACCTGAACAGAAGAGTTCACTAGACCCCTTCTCAACTGAGTGCCCCCTAATTACCCCCACAAAGCCCAAATTAGGCAGACTTTAGTCCAAATACCTGCTGAGGCAAGAATCAAGACCCTATAAGCAGCATGCGTGCACACGCACAAACACACACACACACACACACACATATGGGGGGGGGGAGATGGAGTAAGCAGTATAGTGCCTGCCTAGCAAAATGAAGCCTAGCCAGGTGCCAGTGGTCACGCCTGTCATCCTCACTACTCAGGAGGCTGAGATCTGGGGATCATGGTTGAAAGCCAGCCAGGGCAGGAAAGTCTGTGAGATGTTTATCTCCAATTAACCACCAGAAAACCAGAAGTGGTGCTGTGGCTCAAGTGAAGAGCTCAAGGACAGCACCCAGGCCCAGAGTTCAAGCCCCATGACCAGAAAAAATGAAAAAGAAAAGAATGAAGCTTTGAATTCAGACCCTACTACCACCAAAGAAAAAAGGAAAGATGTGAAAAAGTGACAGAAGCCCTTTTTGTATTTAGTCTCGATCCATATAAGAACAGCATTTTGACTGTAACTCCTCTGTACATCATTATAATAACAATAAAAAAGAATAGCGTTTTGCCCCTTCTGCCATATGAAAGGCAGACAACTTTTTTTTTTTTTGGGTCCGGTCGTGGGGCCTAAACTCTGGGCCTGGGCGCTGTACCTCAGCTCTTCAGCTCAAGGCTAGCACTCTACCACTTGAGCCACAGAGCACTTCCGGCTTTTTTCTTTTTGCTTATGTGGTGCTGAGGAATCAAACCCAGGGCCTCATGCATGCAAGGCAAGAGCTCTACCACTGAGCCACCTTCCCAGCCCCAAGGCAGATAACTTTTAAATCCTACCTGCAAATTACAAATCCTATACCAGACACCAAATTTGCCAGTGTCTTGATCTTGAACTTCCCATCCTCTAGTGTAGGAATAAATTCTATTCTTTATAGATTACCCCAGGCTCAGGTATTGTTAAAACAGCACAAACAAACTAAGGTAGGACCTTTTGTCTCTGTATATGAAGTAGGATATTGGATATATCTTGGAAGCAAAGTTATCTGGGAATGCTTAAAATTTACAAAGAACTGCCAGATGTTTTAAGACAGTGGTCTGAGACTTTATCTCTTAAGGTACACTGATTGCATAAGCAACCCTAACAGTCCACCCTTCCCTATACCTGTGCTCTTTGTAAATTAACTTCTGAGCCCCTCTCCTAAAGGTAAAATCTATTTGTTTATCTTTGC